GGAGAGAAGGGGAGAGGGAGAGAAGGGGAGAGGGAGAGAAGGGGAGAGGGAGAGAAGGGGAGAGGGAGAGAAGGGGAGAGGGAGAGAAGGGGAGATAGCTGGGTGAGAGTGTGTGTATGTCAGGGTACTTATTTGCCTTGTTTGGGAAGAGGGAGGGCACACTGGAGTTTTAGGGTCTGTGCATGAAGGGCTGAAATTGTTCAGTAGTTTTGACTTTGGACCTTTTTCTCTGCCTCTTTCAGTGCTATCCTTCCCATAGGCTCCTCCTCTTTTCCCTAGTAGGGAATACCTATTCCCTGTCTGGAATTTAAGATACAGATTCTGTTCCTTTTGGCCCTACAGATAAGAAATGTATTTCTTTCTTGAGCCTCACACAAAAGTGATCAGCTGGTCATGAGAGGTCTCATCTCTGTCTCGTTGACCTCACTCTGTCTGCCCTCACTGCTGAACTCGTGGTCTTGCTGCCGTCTTTCATTGCTTTTGTGGTTGTCAGACTCTTGAGTTGACCCTGTTCAGTTGGATTAGTTAATCTGACATAAAAGAGTGTTTTACTGGATAGTGTTTTGTCAACCTCATGATTTGAAATGATGAATCATGGGCTCTCATCAGGACCAAAGGAAAAAGAGTACTCAAGTAAGGAAAAGCAGAGTGTGTAGGAGCGGGCACTTGCATTTTTGTTTGGTAGGGTAGTAGGTCAGCTCATGCTCTCTCGTGTGGCATAATGTTGGATTAAGAGAGCATAAGGTAGTATAAGAGAAAGTAAAATGAAAGTGAAAAGGATAAATTTACGTAAGGACTCTTTCTCTCATACTGTATCTGCATGAATTAAATGTAACTGCTATGTTTACTGCTGAATTACAAGATCACAAATTTCAGAGCAAAACAAGAACTGGGAGATTCTTAAATATTTTAACATTGTTTTTTCTGAAAATAATTTGAAATAATTTCTATGCACGTTATAGTATGTCATATTTTATATAATGCAAAATTTATATATAATAGTCTGTGGCTTCTTTAAAGGACTTGGTCATGTGTATCTTTACTGCCAGCATTCCGAAGTATCTACTCTGCCTGTTGCCTCAGAAAACTATAGAGTAATATTATTTTATAAATATACTTACGAGTAAAAATAAATCTTGAATGTCATAAAACTAAATATTAGGAGCTAACTGTAAAGGACCTACTATTTAGTGCAGCACTATTATTATCAGTAGGAAAACAGTCTCAGATTCATGGACAAGGTTAATCTGGTCATTGCCTCCTATATTTTTTGTTCCAGAAACATTTTACATAGGCCTATTGTGAATTACTTGGAACTGAGAACTAATTTCATAAGCAAACATGGATATTTCAGAGCTCAGCAGAATAGAGTTTAACTTCTAAGTACCGGACTGCTGGAATGGTGTCCATATGTTACGTTAGGGAGGTGGTATAGATGCAAGAGTTGGAAGTCATCATCCGTAAACATCGTAGCAGACCACATGTTGTGTGGGAACTCACCATGGGCAGCCAGCTGAGAATGCTGAAAGCATGAATCCTGATTCTCATTAGGATTTATCATATAGCTTTGGGCTGCAGCGAGGTGTTGTAGCATTTGAAACTCTTGTTACAGCACTCGAACTTACTTCTTCAGAACAAAGCAAAGTTTCTTCATGAACTCAGGGTAATGAGGACAAAGTGTTTCCTTTGTATACAGTTGCTCTATGCTTCGAATTTGTGGTGACTGAATTTATTTGCCTTCCTTAGCCTAAGGTTATTCAGTTCACATCTTCCCTCTCTGAATGTGTCCTGATAGTAAAGTAAAGGCTATTCTGGGTGGAGGAGGTAATTATGGAAGACTTGAGTTCAGGGGATCGGCTGAACAGCAAGCCATTCAGGAGAGACTGGAACAAATTAGTAACTAGAGCATTCTGTTGCTTTATGGCCCCTTTCTGCTGGTGCCCAGTTTATTTTATTTGATGACGTTTTAATACATTAATAGCTCTCAAA